ATGAATGCTGCGTTACTTGTGCCTGCATCATCGCTTTCTGTGGTTATCTCTGAGGATGGGTTGAAGCCCGAATCCGAAACGTTGGGCAAATAAACTTCTCATTCCAGAGATCGCATCTCCTACATGTGAAGATGTATATTTTGTACATTAAGAATTTGCGGCATACTTGCTGAAAGAAGGTAGGAGCCTTGTGCGTCGATGGCGAGGCTCGTCACTGCATCCAGATGAGCGACCATACTGTGTACACACTTTCCGAGACTAGTATTTAAGAATCGAATTTGCTTGTTCTCGTGGGCAGACATCAAAAGGGGGAGGGTTGGATGTGAGACGAGACTGTTTACAGAACCGGCAAAGGAGGGCAGGGAATCATCTGAGGCAAAGAAAAGGCAAAAAGAAGTAGATGCGTAATGAAGTCCAAGGAGACGTAAATTCAAAAACTGTACAGTTCAATAATGATACTTACAGCACCTCTAACTGCTCAGATGACTCTGTGTGGAGTTATATGAGAACTATAAACTACTACTGAGAACGAGAATATGCTAAGGAAGTTCAAGTCGGTGGTTAGACTATTCTTTGCACTTCTCCCGTAATACCGTTGCCACCCACTCAAGCCAGACAAAGCACGTGTGATGTTCGACTGTGCAGCCACTTGGCGGGCCTAATTTTATAAATTCGTAAATCGGTTTAACTTTGAAAAACTGGTAGAAGAAAGGCAACCCTGCAACTGGTATAGACAGATCTTCCCTCAAGTACGCGTCCCATAAAAAGACCACGACCTTTAAGGTTTCCGTGTTGAGAAATTTAGGACATCACAATCCTAAACGCAATATCGAAGAACAGGACAGTTAGGTGAAGTGGTATCTTCTCTGGAATACAGACGATTAAAGATACGCAGAACTGATTCGGATCCCCACGGAACAGTTATACAGCGGTATCTGTGAACTACATGCTGGAGCTAAACCGCTTAAAAATAGTCCCGTTGACTCAAACAGAATAACCACTCCTAATCATAGACAGCACTTGCGTACTATCACACACTTGTCCATTATCTTCCTCAGCAAACTTAAAGAAGTGTAGTCTACCTCATCCCCTTTGAAAGATACTTTAAATTAGTAAATGGGATTCAAACTGGCAGATGGCATTTACATAAAATGAAACTTCTTGAAGATAACAATATTTTCTACGCAGACCACTACCGCTACCCCGTCAAAGATAAAGTTAATAAACAGCAACGGTTGCAGCAATTTTTCTCACCACATCCTGCAGAAGCGCTCGGCGGCGCGGACTGATGGCTTTCAAATAGAGTCAGGAGACGACCAGACTCCAGGGAGATGACGCAGACCTCGCCAGTAGTCAGGCCGACAGCAAATGAGTCCGGATCAGTGGAGAGGAAGGTGACTGAAGTGGGGAGAGGAACATCTGTGGTGGTGGTGGTCTTGCTGTCAGACAAGGTCGATGGTAGTGGTAGCAGGGCTGCGAGGCGATAGACTCGGTTGGCCGCGAGACTGGTCGGTGAAAGGCTTGTGGTATTGCTGTTGACTGTGCCAAATGCCGACTGTTGGAGATTGGGAGGGATGTTCCAGAGGCGGACTGTTCCATCCGCAGACGCCGACAAGAGGACTCCATCAGCCTGAGAGGATTGAGGGAGGAAGAAAGGGAAACAAGATCACAGTAATAAATATATCTGTCGTGGGTCCCAACAATACTAGCCGCTGCGCGACTGCTGGCGGGGTTGGAGAATGAGCTCCAAGGCAGAAAAGGGCGAAAGAGTTCCGTTAGCGATCGGTGAGCTTTCATCAGCGAATTTTAACAATTAACAATTTCGCGCCTTACTGTGAAATCCGAAACTCTTTGGTGTAACTTTCGAACAGATGTTCTATTCTCCAGCCGAGACCGTGATTATTTAATTTGTGGTAAATGGCCCTCACATTATGCGTTAGGGAACCTACTCATCCTGTGGTGCTTTGCGGCTCTGTCTAGAGCCTCCGTAGGCACTTGTAGGGTGACTAGTACTATACACAGAATGAAACTATGGACAAATAGTAGGGATACTGGAATAGCCACTTCTAGTTTATTAGCCGTCATCAACCAGCCATACCCAGCCCCAGGTTTGCCAACCTCGTTGACTAAAAAGTCCAACGCTCTACCAACTAAGCCATGGGCTCGTTGTCCTGTCGATTTTTATCGGGAATATTAACAATAACGGATACAATCGACAGAAAAACATACTCATAACTTTTTCGTTAGTCTTTGGTTTCTAACCAAAAGAACGCTAGTCCAGGCCTCACATGCTGCAAAAGATTCGGGATTGAGCATCTCAGGAAAAGGCATCTCATGATCTCCATGTTCAGCGCAGAATTTGTAATAGTTGTCAACCATTACCTCTTTAATTATCTCACACCTAGAGTTCCAGGTTTCTGGTGATATCTGCCCTGATCTGTGGCTTTAGGAGGAGGGAGAAGGAGAAGAAGAAGAAGAAGAAGAAGAAGAAGAAGAAGAAGAGCAAGGAGGAGGAGGAGGAGGAGGAGGAGGAAGAGGGAAATAAAAGTTGAAGAGAGGGAGGGAGGTGAAGAACTCACTCGCACAGCC